TGAGATCCAGCACGATGGGCCCGAATATGGGCGAGTTCCTCGCCCTCGCCTCGGCCTCGTCGTCGTCAGCGCTTACGGCGCCATGCAGCAGCAGCAGCAGCAGCAGCAGCAGCAGCAGCAGCAGCAGCAGCAGCAGCAGCTCGGCGACCTTCTGGTGAATCGGGGATTCCTCCTGCGCGGCCGGGAACCGAACTTCCATGCCGATGCGTGCAGGTAAAACGCCGCGGAGGCCCGTTGTCTCGTGCATGTTCGGGACGTTCAGGAGGCGCCAGTCTGCGCCTGGATCGCCGTGAGTGGTGTTGCACTCGCCCACTGCCTGCAGGAAAACGAGTGGCATGCTGAGACGCCGCGTGTCGCGACGAGCGCGCGCGTTGATCCACCTCGCCGGCGCTTCCCTGGGACATAACAGGCGTTCTGACCCCTCCGCTCTCCCATGACAGTGGGCCCAGCACTGCAGTTTTTTTCTGAACCCACGCGGTGGGCTCGGGCGGGGGCGTTGCGTCATGCCCCCCCCCGCCGCTCCCCCCCTGACGCCCGCTATCGCCGCGAACGCAAGCGGCGGCTCCGCGGCGTACTTGTACGATCCGTCGTCCAGGAACTCGCTCGCGTCCGTCAGCAGGCCGGTGCTGCCGATTGGCTTCAGCTGCAAGGAATCGCCGGGGTGCAACGCGATGGGAGCGCGGCCGACGTGGTGGCGCGGCCGCTCGTTGAGCCCCGCGCGTCGCGCGCGTCACTTCGGCCACGGCAGGCGCAAAGGTCCGACGCGTTGCGCAGAGCTGCCGCCGCCGTCTTCGCCTCCTCGATGGCCAGGGCGCGGACGTGCTTCCACGACCACGTCAGTCGCTTCTGCGTGCCCCCCAGCCCCATCTTAGCGCCGATGCACTCCATTATGAGCTCGCAGAACGCAGGCATTCTGCAGCGCTCGGGCCTACACCGTCTCCTCGGAGGCCTTCTTTGCCTGCGCGTTCGAGACGGCGATGATTATCACGGCGACCTTGTCCAGCGCCAACGAGGGCCGCAAATGCTCCACCCCTGGGAGGGGGCGATCTTCAGCACCACGCGTGTTTTCCCCGAGACGCCTCGGCCCAGAAAAAGAAAGTGCGCCACTTCTCTGTCGCTCCAGCTCTGCGCGTCGCCCGCCCGGCCTTCGTCGCGGGCTTCGGCGAAGTTGTCGACGAAGAGCGTCTGGTCTCGCGTGAGTCTCTGGCCTTCTGGCAAGCCAGCAACCAAAGTCGGCGATCACGCTCTGGGCGCGGAGAACACGCTGCCGCCGAAAGTGGGCGCAGCGGGGGCGCCGCCAATGCTGCCGGCGTTCTCGCCCGCGCCGTCGTCGACGCCCGTGCCGTCCTCGTCGCGGCGGCCCTGGAAGGGTCGCGAAGGAGTGCGTCGCCTTGCGCGTCGCCATCGCCGGCGGTCGGTGCCTAGCCGCGGGCGCGGGAGCGGCCGCCACATCCGCCAGCTCGAGCGCGCTCGCGTCACCGCGGGCCGTCTCGGACATGCGCGGGGGCGCGAGGAGTTCCTCGGCCAACTTCACGAGGCGCTTTGGCGCGCCAGGTTCTACTTGTCCGCCGCGCTCTGCTTCCCGTCGGCGCCCCGCGTCGAGACAACCTGTCAACGCTCCGAATCATCAGGGGTAACTCGGGACAGGGCTGAGTCGGGCTCGTTTTTCGGGAATCCGAATCCGAGTTGCCCCGGGCCCGGGCTGCCCCGGATCATCCGGGCGTCCAGAGCCCCAAGTCATCAGGGGCAACTCGGGCCAGGGCAAACTCGGGATCGGTTTTCGGGAATCCGAGCCCGAGTTGCCCCGGGCCCAGGCTGCCCCGGATAACTCGAGCTCCCGCCCCACCGGATCATCAGGGGCACCTCGGGCCAGGGCTCACTCGGGTTTGTTTTTTTCGGGAAGCCGAACCCGCGAGTTGCCCCGGGCCCGAGCTGCCCTGGACAATTCGGGCGCCCAAGCTTGGAAATGCGCTCGGGCCGCCGGCGGGGGCCGCGCCCGGACGCGCCGCGCCCTCGCGCGCCTCATCGCCCTCGTCTCGCCCGCGTCGCCGCCGCCGGTGGTCGCCCTGGGGTGCGCGCTCTGCTCGGCAGCGTGGCCCCGGCGCCCCCTGGACGTCTTCTCCTCGCGCGCCAGGGCTGGGTCGGGCCTGTCCCCCTGCAGGAGTTTTTGCAGTTTAGCGATCTGTTTTTTGAGACACACGCGCCCCCAACAGATTGCAACAGCATGCGAACATGGTCAAAAATGCAATGCTCCAAACACCAGACAGCTCGCTCTTTGGCCCACCGCCAGCCCCGCGCCAAGGGGCGAGCATCTATACGGGCGCAGAACCGCGCTTGATGCAGCCTGCGGCGGACCGCCCGCGCGTGGCACACGGTGCTGCTTGGCTACGGTTGGGAAGTATCCTCACCGCCCTGGCTCAAAACTTCCAGCGCCATGCCCTCACAACCCTCGCTTAAAACTACCAGCGAAGTACCCTCACGTCCCTGGTCTCAAGCTGCCAGCGAAATATCCTCGCGCCCCTGCCCTAAAACTGTCAGCGACATATCCTCGCCACTGGATTTGCAACTGTCAGCGAACTATCCTCACCCCCTGGCCTAAAGCTGCCTCGCTCAGAACTGCCGGCAAAATATCCGCACCCCTGGCCTAACCTGCGAAAACCCGAACAACTTTCGCTTAAAACTGCCAGCGAAATATTATCACCCCCTGGCCTAAAACTGCCAGCGAAATATCCTCGCCCCCTGGCCTAGCAGCCAGCGAAATATCCTCAACACCTCGGCCTAAAACTGCCAGCGATATATCCTCAACCCCCTGGCCTAAAACTGCCAGCGAAATATCCCCACATCCCTCGCTTAAACTGCCAGCGAACTATCCTTCGCCCCCTGGCCTACAACTGCCAGCAAAAAGTCCTCGCACCCTGGCCTACGCCTGCCAGCGAAACATCCTCAAGCCCCCGATTTAAAACTGCCAGCGAAATATCCCCCCCTGACCTAAAACTGCCAGCGAAATACGCGCACCCCCCTGCCTTAAATTTGCCAGCGGAATATCCCCGCACCCCTCGCTTAAATCTGTTAGCGAAATATCCTCACCCCCTGGCATAAAACTGCCAGCGAAATGTCCTCAAGCCCCTGCCTTAAAACTGCCAGCGAAATATCCTTACCCCCTGGCTTAAAACTGCCAGCAAAGTATCCCCTACCCCCTGACGTAAAACTGCCAGCGAGATATCCTCACACCCTGGCCCAAAACTGCCAACGAAATATCTTCACCCCCGGGCCTTACACGGCCAGATATCCTCAACCCCCTGGCTCAGATTTATGATCGATGCACTTTTGCTGTGTTTGTTTCTTCTCTGGGGCGGCCTGGGCCCAATCTACCCGATCCACCTTCCTATATTCCACGTTTTTGCATGCTTCTTCCGACCGACGCGTCTTTCCCCAGCTCTCACGGCGCCTCTTCTTGCTGCAAGGCGTCCCACAGCCCCACCCTGGGCCGCGCACGTGCCGCCGGCCACGATCGGCGCCCCCCCCTCTTGGACGCCCCCGAGATCAGGACTTCCTGAGCTGTTCGAAGCTCGACGCCCCCCCCCCCCTTTGGCTCGCCCACTCGCCGCTGCGCCCAGACATTTGAGGAGCGGAAAGAGAAGCGTTCCGATGTCTTCTCACCTGGCTCCTCGAAGAGCTGGGCATGACCCTCCTGGTGCGTCGCACAGCTGGACTAGAATGTGTTGGATTCCTCTGGAGAGGTCCGGCTTTGGTTCAAAGTCGGCTCGTCATTCTCGCCTGCCGGTGCTCTCGCGCCAGATCCTGGGGCCTCCAGCAAACAATCCCAGGCCGTCTCCGTTCCCAAGGCCCAGAACAGCTTGCCAGCGGGGCAGAATCGACGCCACTCCCCAGGCAAGAGCGTCCAGACCAGACCTTCCTCGTCGTCTTCTCGTTCCTGCTCCTCCTCCGCCCCCACCCGTCCCGCCAGCGGCCTATCCTTCCAGCATCCTCGAACGTCCAACCAATCCCCATCCCCACTGGGCCATGGCATCCCGGCGCCACCAGCCGACCCTCCTGGGTGAGGGCAGGCTCCAAACCAGAAGGGAGGGGAAGGCCACGCCGGGGGTAGGGATCGGTGAAGCGGCTCGCGCCACTGCTCGAAGAACAGCAAATGGTTTCAACATAATTTATAAGAGGTCCGCGCTGATTCCTCGGATCCGCGGTGGGCCCCCCTGGAGGTGCCTCCGGCGCCGCCCCTTGCGCGCTCCGCGCGCCAGGGAGTGGGGCCCAGCGCGGATCCAAGAAATCCGCGCGGAGCTCCGCAAATTTATGCTTATGCAGTATTTCTTTCTCGAGTGGCTTGTCAGCCCCGCCAGCCCACCCTCCTAGGCAAGGACAGGTCTCGCGAAACCCGAGGGTACAGGTACATGTCCCCACCTAGGTGGGCCCAGCGCGGATCCAAGAAATTCGCGCGGATCTCCAAAAGTTTATGTTCTTGCCGTTTCCCGTTCTTCGACGGACGGAGGGAGAGGAGGATGAGGAGAAGGAGGAGGAGGACGAGGAGGATGAGGAGGAGGAGGCGGAGGAGCAATTGAGGATAGGAACGAGTTGGGTAGGAAGGAACCAAGAAAGCCGCGCGGACCTCCAACACCTTTTGCTCGTGCTGTTTGTTATGTTCCCCGACGGCATCCTGCCGAGGTGCCTTTTTGACGCTAGGCAAACATCGGGGGCGGGGCTGTTGTGTTACTCAGCGACACGAGCTCCTACAGGCGCGGGGGCGCACGGTAGGCTCGTGTCTTGGTGACGCGGCGGCTGGCGTTCGAGGTGGAACGCCGCCAGCGGCCCAGAGTCGGCCATGACGGATCAAGCTGGCGATCGAAGGGTCGCTGACCGCTCGAGGTGGAACGACCCGCGCAGCGTCGGACACCCGAGCCGCGGTCGTCCTGGCACGAGCTTGCCGCAGACATCCTCTGTCGGTCTGCCGCCGCGCCACCCGCCCGTCTCCCCGGCGCTCGGCCGAGGTGCTCCTGGAGCCCCTGATCGCCGCCCGGCGGCCGCAGCTGCGGCAGAGGCCGGGCTGCACCCTGCCGAAGAGGGTCGCGGACGCCCTGGGCCTGGCGCAGGATCGCCCCCCGAGGGCCGAGCGGTGGCGAAGCGTCATGTGGGACATTGGAGCATATACGCTACCAGTGGCGGGCGTTTTTGTTTCAATCCCAGGACTTTTCGTTGAGGGTCGGGGACGACGTCGGGGTGGTGTGGTGTATACTTTTTCCCTCGTCTTCCTGGAGAAGCAACGAAGAATGTGCACACCAGGATCCCGTGTACACCAGGATCAGTTTTCCTGTGCGAGATTGAGTGCGAGGCCAGACAAAGGCGTCGGTGTACAGACTTCGGTTCCCTATCACCGCTTGCCTAGAGGCCCTCCAGAACATATTCTGGAACACCTCTGGCCCAGACCGTCTGGTTCTGACATGGAGGTTTTCTGGTCGAAGAGCCCCGCTTTTGTTCTCCAGTGGCCTTCCGCCCATCCCGCCACCGTGCCTGGGTTGCGGGTCAGAGCCCGCAGGGACGCCTCTTGGTTTTTGGGGTGGAGTGCTCTTGGCTCTTTTGGGCAATTTCGGGGCCTCTTGGGAGCCTCTTGGAGGGCCTCTGGGGAGCCTCTGGGGGCCTCGTGGGGCTTCCTGGGGGCCTCTTGGGGGCTCCTTGGGAGCTCTTGGCGGCCTCTCGGGGCCCTGTTTTCGTCATTCCAGCATTCTTTTGCGCTACAAGGAAACTGCCCGTGGTAGGCCTGCAAAGGCATGCCTGGGCGGCCAGTCCCTGTTCCGCAGGGGGCGCCGCCGGCGGGCGGCTGCGCCAAGCGCATGGCCCAGAGTCTGGCACGGCTCGGGGGGGAGAACCTCCTCGAGCCTCGAGCTGCAAGGCTGAAGGGCGTCTTCGTCCCAGCCACCCGCAGAAGGGGGGGGCAGAGGGAGGGGGGAGGGCTTCTCACAGGGGCGTGCCCTCTTGCCAGAAGGCCTGGTGCGTCTTCGACAGGAGCACGCTCGCGAATGGTTCTCCTACGGCGGCGTGTCATTGCTACCGATCCCTGTTTCCCGAACAGCCTGCGTCGTTCCTGGTCTCTTCGCAGCGCCCACCGCCCTCATCCCTCGACGCTGCTCTCCTCCTTGCTGGCCACTCCGATGTCGCACCAGTCATCTGGCGGGGGGGATTTTATAAAGCGGCCGGGAGGTACCTTCGCTTTCTGATGGACGACGGCCGACAGCAGTTCATGCCCAGTCTGAATTTGATTGACTGTCGGCGTTCGCAGCGGGCTTCCTCGAGAGGCAGAACGTCGCCTGCCCAACACTGGCTGCTGCTGGCACTGGGCAACATTCACTGGCGGACACTGCTCTCACTGCTGTCCGTACGGCAGGTTCGCGTCGTGTCGACCGGCGGCGACCCCAGCGCATGCGTTTGAGGTTGAACGCCGCCCGCGGCCCAGAATCGGCCCGTCGTTGAACGATCCGGCGTTAATGGAACGGCCGATCGTTCAAGTTTGAACGATCCCCGCGGTGTCAGGAAGCAACGCCGGGGGTCGACACGACGCGAACCTGCCGTAGCAATGTCGGGCGTGCCAATGGAAGAAGTCAGAAGTGTTGCGCTCTATCTGCGCGGTGTCTTCCTGTCGTCCTGCGCCGCGGAGGGGAGGTGACGTCGAGCGCGTCTCGGTGTGCGCACGCATCTGGCTCCGGGCTGTCGGAGACGCCTGCGGCGAGCCGCCGCCGCCCCCTGCCTGTCTCTGGAAGCTCCGATGTGGTCAAACGTTAGGCGAGAGGCCGCCTTGGGGGCCCCACTGGGCCATTTTATTTTGGAGCCCTCCTGGAGCGCCGCAGAGCCGTCCTCAAGACAGGTCTCTGGGGTCCGTGTTGGGGCCCCCTTGTCCGGTCTCGGGGCCCGACTAGAAGAGGAGGAGGAGGAGGAGGAGGAGGAGGAGGAGGAGGAGGAGGAGGAGGAGGAGGAGGAGGAGGAGGAGGAGGAGGGGGGGGCTACCTCGGAGGCCTCTGGGGCTGTCGTCGGCTCTCGGAGGCCCGAGGAGGCGAGAGGACGAGCATCGTTTTTAAACAGCTGTGAGATGCAAGCAGGGATGTTGGCCTCTTCGGGCCCTCCTGGAGGGCCTCTTGGAGCCGTCTTGGGCCATATCGGGGACTTCTTGAGCCTTTTGGAGACAAGCCGGGATCGTCTTGGAGCCATGCTACTGTCCGACTTGGAGGCCCTCTTGGAGACGTTTTGTGCTGTCTTGGAGACAGCCTTGGAACGTTTGAGGCCGTCCCGAAGGCCATCTTCGGGGCAATGTTTTGCGTCGTGGAGGCGGAGGAAGGTCCTTCATTGCTTGTCTGTGTTGGCGGAGGAATGCGCCGAGACCCCACTGGGAACCTTTTGGAAGAGCCGAGAAGTGCTGGAGGATCTGGCACGCCAACCACTCCTTTGCAAGAAAACGGGGGCGGTGAGTCTAGTGGCGGGGGCGGTGGGTCTAGTGTCTAGTGGCCTTTGGCCAGTCCCGTCTCCGCGCCTGGGTCGCATGGGGTCGCTTGGGAGGCCTCGTGGGAGCCACTTGGGGGCCTCTTGGAGGTCTCCGGCGTGCCTCCGGGGTGGCCTCGTCGGGGCTTCTCGGGGTCTCTCGGGCGCCCTTCGAGGGCTGCTGACCGTCTCGGGTGCCCTCCTCGCTTGCAGGGCTCCACGTGTCAGTGCGAGTATCCCCTGTGGGGACCCTCTTTGGCGGCTCTCGGCTCCGTCTTGGGGGTCTGGGCAGCGTCTTGGGGGCCACCGTGGATACTGCTAGGACCGTGAGGCCGAGAGTGCTAAAACCATACAAAAGCCGTACTTCGTGTCTCGAATGATTTGGTCGATCCCCCCCCCAGCCCTCAAGGACGGTCCAAGAGGCCCTTCAGAACGCCTCAGCACGGGCCTTGGAGGCACGCTCGAAGCACGCGGAAGGTTCGGGTTTTTGATCATGCTCTCGAGGCTTCTGGGAAGTTTGGGTTCTTGACCATGCTCTCGAGGCCATTTACGCAAGCTTCCGATGGTGTCCTGAAGTTCCGTGAGTTGTGTGTCGAAATGTCTTATGGCGATGATCAATGGCTGCCAGTGTGGACCCCGATCATTCGTTGTTTCCGTCTCGACATGCAGTGTGTCAAATTCTGTGATGCAATGTCTGCGGTGCAACCTGTGCGTGCAGTCTGTGTGACCGCATCCGCGCGTGACCCCCTTGTACTGCTCGCGCAACCAACCCAACCATCCACCCGCAACGTGCTGGCAGCGCTCAACTGGGAGGCGGCAGCGACGATGACGATGACGATGCTGATGTTCAGGACGACGGTGAGGACAATGTCGACGTCGACGATGGCGATATGGTGATGAAGCTGATAGTGATTACCATCAGACTGGCAATGATGAGGCTGGCGATGGTGATGACGACGGCTTTGTTTAGGATGATGAGTGCGTGCCCGCTCGCAGAAGATTGACGAGGGCGACGACATCTTTGATGACGATGACGACCGCGGTGGTGATGACGACGCTGGTGATGTTGATGATGACAGTGGCGATGCCAATGATAACGCTGGCGACGATGACTGCGATTGTGCTGAGGATAATGAGTAAGTGTGCGCTCGCAGACATGGACACAATTTGACATGTCCTCACTGAGCAACCCTGGGGTGTTCTTTGTGTCTGCTAACGTATGCAGAATGAGCTCGACCTTAAGAAGCATTCCACAAGAAACCCAACCTTGAAACCACATGACGTCCACTGATGTTTGGTATGGGAACGTCACGCTACCCATAGCAAAACCATCGAAACCCAAGAAACCCAAGGCACACTGGAGGCAAGCATGGTGTTTCTTGACATGGGTTTCCAATGTATGTGAACTGCTTACAGAATCAATGGCCTGGGAAAGATCTTGACGTGCGCGCGGAGACGCGCGTCGGGGGCTGCATGGACTTCTTTGACAGAGTTGGCGGGCGCGCGATGGCCTTTGAGCGTGTTCGACATGCGCGCCTTTGGCCCGCGTGGTCCCAACTGACAGATCGCCTGAGAGTATAGTGGAAACCCATGTCAAGAAACACCCTGTTTGCCTCCAGGGTGCCCTGGGTTTCTTGGCTTTCGATGGTCTTGCTATGGAGAGCGCGACGTTCCCACACCAGAAATCAAGGGACGTCCTGGGGTCACAGGGTTGGGTTTCTTGTGGAAGGTCTCTTGTGGTTGCGCTCCTGGCGTGTATGGTTTGCGCTCTTATGCTTCCGGCGAGTGCGCGTGCGAATGCCGGGCAATGCCGGCCAGAACACTGGGAGGCCCCGAGGCGGCAGTGGGCGCCTTCCATCAAGCAGTGGCGGAGCGTCCCGGCTCGCCTATAGCCCCACCAAACAATGTTCCAAGAAATTGTTGTGATATGCACGAAATGTTCTTAGAACATTTCTGGCGGAGTCTGTTTTGTTTTATCACATCGGGTTGATGTTCTAAGAACATTGTTTTTGTTCTTAGAACATTTGTGGGTTCTAAGAACTTTTCGTGGTAGGACTATAGAAATGCCGGGACGGTCGGTGCCTGCTCAACTCCAGCCGAGAGCATGGAAACGCAGATGACCCACGCGGAGGAGCAGATTCTCAGTGCGCGCACCGCACTAGGAATGACGTCGAGTACCGGAGAGCACTCAATTTTTGTGTCTTTGGCACTCTTGACGTTTCTCTCGCGCTCACGTGGGTACGTGTCCATGGGAGTTGCCCGTGCGGGTGCGCCACTGCGCTGGCGGATGCGAGGCGGCAGTGTTGGGCGACCGGAGTGGTTTGAGAACCTTCTTCTCGTCAGCACTGCAACGTCTCCAACTACCATTAAGTCGGGCCTGTCCCTCTACAGGAGTAATATTCAAAAATATTAAAAAAATAGTCAGGGGACGATGTTTGAAATATTTTTGAGTATTTTGGGGCATTGTTTTACTTTTTTGTTTTCATTTTTGGTTCCAAATCCGCCTGTAGGGGGACAAGCCCGACCCAGAACTACCAGCCTATCGGCGTGTGGGTTTGGAACTCCAGAGTCCAGCGCTCCTGCCCGCAGACTGTTCGCTGTTGCGCGGGCCCTGGTAGGGCGCCGAGAGGTTTTACAGGTGGTAGGTCGATCCTCAGCTTATCGATGGAGGAACACATAAGAACGTAAGCATACATTTTCGGAGGTGCGCACTGATTTCTTGTATCGGCGCTGGAGCCTCCTCCATAGCTCGCGGAGCGCGAATGGGGGCGGCGCCGGAGGCGCCGCCATGGGGCTCCAGCGCCGATCCGAGTCACCCGCGCGGACCTCCGAGAGTCCATATGTTCACTTCCTCCTTGGCCCCCCGAGTCTGAGCCGCGTCGAGGGAGGCGGGGTGCCTCTCCCAGCAGGGGCCCCGCGCAGCCCCGCGGGGCTCGACGAGGCCGCGGTGCGGGGCCTGAGGGCCCCGGCGCGCGCAGAGGGCTGGGGGCCTCGGGCGTGCGGCCTCCGGCTGTGCCCGCCGGGCATCGCTCGGGCGCGCGCAGCTCCTGCTCGGCGAGGCGGGCGCCGGAGGAGCTGGGCCGTCTGGGTGCGGTTGGGCCCCGGGAGGGGGTCCAGCCAGAAGAAAGAGAGGGCGGTGCAGGAGATTCGGTGCGGTGGATCTGTGGGGCTGCACTACAGATGCGTGGCGTGCAGTGCCTTCCCCGGTGCGCCGAGTGTGATGCTGGGCTAGTGCGTGCAAGGCGTTCGACGCAAGACAATGCAATACAACTCTCTGGCGCAATTTGTTTGCCCCAAACCTGTTGCACCCCCCCTTTCAGCTGGACCCTCTTTTGGGTCAACCAAACTTGGAGCATCCTGGACCGCCCCGCACGAGACCAATCGATGCAAGGGGACTGACCGTCCGAGCGATGGCGGGCGGGCTGTGTGCACCGATCGGGCCGCTTGGGGTCCCATTGTTCTGGAGGGGAAGGTCACCATTCATGTCGACTCCTCCGACTCGATTTGATTAGATTTCGATCGATTCCAGTTTCGATTCGATTCGACCTCAGACTCCGATGTGGATGTTGGTTTCTCAGAAGAGTCTTTCCTAGCCCGCCGACTTCCGCCGATCCGACTTCTCCCGATTTGGTTGTCGGGCTCTGCCGATCCGATTCAATTCGATCGCCAATCGACTTACCGATTTGATGTTGGGCCCCCCTGCACCAGGCCCCCCCTGCCATTCCGCCTGCCGCCAGCCCCCCGCCTGCAGGACCACACCATGTCCGACCTGGTAGCAGAGAGTGCAGGAGGGGGCCTGCATCTATCCTGCCTGCTGCCACGCTTACTGACGCCCCTGGGCGCGAAACCTTCCACACCCATCGAAGGAAGGCACAGGCAGGGCCGCCTACGATCCGATTCGATGCGATTCGATTCGCCGGATGAGGCCGCGATTCCAATTCGATGCGATCCAGTTCTATTCACCAGCATCGGCCAGGGCCAGCCAGAAGCGGGGCGCGGCGATTCGATACCGATCCGATTCGGGACGATTCGCTGGCGATTCGATCCGCTCTCGATCCGATCCGATTTCGCGATCCGATCAAGCGCAGACCTGACAGGGGCCTCTGGGGGCCCTCCATAGGCCTCGACTGAGGCCGCAGTCAGCTCGTCCCGAGAAGGAGGAGGAGGAGGAGAGGAGGAGGAGGAGGAGGAGGAGGAGGAGGAGGAGGAGGAGGAGGAGGAGGAGGAGGTGAGGAAGGAGGAGAGGGAGGAGGAGGAGGAGGAGGAGGAGGAGGAGGAGGAGGAGGAGGGAGGAGGAGGAGGAGGGGGAGGAGGAGCTCTTGGGGCCTCTGGCGCTTCGAGAGGACTCCACAGAGCCTTCAGGAGGGGCTCGGCGGCGCGCTCGCAAAACCCTGCCCTCGCAGCGCAGCAATTCGGGCAACTCGATGGTCGGCGGGGGTAAGGCTCGGAGCTTGTCGAGCCCGTGGCGAAGTCCAGGGGCTCGGCGGCGAACGCCGAACCCTGCCCTCGCTCGGGGGTGGACAGGCCTCCTACCCTGACACGTCGATTAAGGAATTTGCCGTTTTCGGTTCGCGAGAGGGCGTCGCGGCCGTCATTTTTGCGGGTCCAGGTCTGTCGGTTTCGGTCCCGGGCCGTTTTCATTAAGGGGAGGTCTACGAAAGGGAGGTTTGTCCACCGCCGACTCGCCGATCAACGCTTCAGGCAGCTGGATGGTCGGCGGGGGGGTAGGGCTCGGAGTTCGTCGAGCACATGGCGAACCCCCGCCTCCCCTCGATTCAGGAGGTTCGGGGGTCAGGGGGGCTGGGGCTCGGACGTCGCCCTCGGGGGGCCGCAGCGACCGCCAGGCCAGCCCTTTTGGGCAGACCGGCCACGAGTGGCGGAGCGGATGGCCCGACCTCCCTGGGGGGACCAATCGTCTCCGAATATCGTCGGCTACCCTCGCCGAAAGATCGTCGGTGCGGCATTCGAAGAAGGAATAGCTGTAGAGACATAAACTTTTGGCGCTTCGCGCGGATTTCTTGGATCCGCGCTGGACCCCCTCCCATCGGCGCTTCCGGCGCCGCTCCTGGCGCGCTCCGCGCGCCAGGGAGGGGGGGTCTGGCGCAGATCCAAGAAATCCGCGCGGAGCGCCAAACAGTTATGTTTTTGCAGTTTTGTCTTCCAGGCATGCTGGCCTCATCCATGGGTGTACCGTCGAATTTCAGGGTAAGGACGCTGTGTTTCCGCAAGGGCGCTCTTGCATTCCTGCCTCCTCGGCCATCCTTTGGCCGGTTTCGACATCCACGGGCGCCCCACTGAGGAGGTCCAAGGGCTTTGAAAATTGTAACCCTTAGCCCCAGTTATCGATTCTGGCTGTCATCGGCCACGCGCAGAGGGGGGCCAGGGGGAGGAGGAGCCTGCTTCTACAAAGCCTTCCCCCCTCCCCTTACCCCCTTGTGCGCGCCGGCTGGGCTCGAGACCTCCCCGGAGCTCTGCCCACGCGGCGGAGGCACAAGCGACACGCGTCCGCACAGGCGCTCAGAGGCCCGCGCGGACCCGGGCGGCCTCGCCGGGAGCCTCTCGTGGCTCCACTGGGCCCCGGGGAGCCTCTGCGCATCCCCCCCCCTCCCCTCCGATCTTCGATCCCCTCCGATCCCCGAGCCCTCCCCGATCCCCGCCCGATCCTCGAGCCCCTCCTCCCCCCCCATCCGAGGCCCCCCCCCCGATCCCCGCCGCGCGGAGGCACCCCCCGCGCGTGGGGACAGAGCGACGCCCCCAACTGCGCCAGGGGGTCAGCGAGGCTGCCGCGGTGGCCTCCGGGAGCCGCACGCACCCGGGCCCGGCAGGGTCGACCACAGCCCCGGGCCTTCCCCCGCGGCGCTCCGCGGCAGCCCCGCCGCGCGGCGAGCCGAGCGCCACGGGCTGCCAGGAGGCGCAATCTCCGTTGAGAGCTTGGCTCCTGCGGGGTCTGGACAGGCAGCGCAAACCTTCGGGCGGGTGGTAATGGGGGGTGACCTAGTCCTAATATTCCTCCTCCTCCTCCTCCTGCTCCTCTTCCTGCTCCTCTTTCTGCTGCCAGTCCTCCTGCTCCTCTTCCTGCTCCTCCTCCTCCTCCTCCTCCTCCTGCTCCTCCTCCTCCTCCTCCTGCTCCTCTTCCTGCTCCTCTTCCTGCTCCTCCTCCTCCTCCACCTCCTCCCTCCCTCCTCCTCCTCCCTCTCCTCCTCCCTCTCCTCCTCCTCCTCCTCCTCCCCTCCTCCTCCTCCTCCTCCTCCTCTCCCTCCTTCTCCTCCTCCTCCTCCACCTCCTCCTCCTCCTCCTCCTCCTCCCCTCCTCCTCCTCCTCCTCCTCCTCCTCCTCCTCCTCCTCCTCCTCCTCCTCCTCCTCCTCCTCCTCCTCCTCCTCCTCCTCCTCCTCCTCTCCTCCTCCCTCTTCTCCTCCTCCTCCTCCTCCTCCTCCTCCTCCTCCTCCTCCTCCTCCTCCTCCCCTCCTCCTCCTCTCCCCTCCTCTCCTCCTCTCTCCTCCTCCCTCCTCCTCCTCCTCCTCCTCCTCCTCCTCCTCCTCCTCCTCCTCCCACCTCCTCCTCCTCCTCCTCCTCCTCCTCCTCCTCTCCTCCTCCTCCTCCTCCTCTCCTCCTCCCTCTCCTCCTCCTCCTCCTCCTCCTCCTCCTCCTCCTCCTCCTCCTCCTCCTCCTCCTCCTCCTCCTCCCTCCTCCCCTCCTCCTCCTCCTCCTCCTCCTCTCCTCCTCCTCCTCCTCCTCCTCCTCCTCCTCCTCCCTCCTCCTCCTCCTCCTCCTCCTCCTCCTCCTCTTTCTTCTTCTCCTCCTCCTACTCCTCCTCCTCACGGGGGGTCAAGGCAAGGGTCATGAAGTTAAGATGTTCGAACCTGATTTTAGCCTTGACCGCCAGATTCGATCAACAAGGAAGTCATTATCGACACCGGAGGATTTTCACGTGTGGGGCCCTGGGAGGCGATACTTGTTCGACACTTCGCCAGCGTGTCGGGCAGACATTGTTTCGATGCTTATACTGGGTGCTCGAAATTATTTCTGGAATGTGGTCCTTAAGTGCGATGGGAACAACATGACTCTAAAGGGCCCCTTCAGGGCCCCTTTCTTCACACCCCAATTTAGGTCCTCCCCGTTACCACCCGCCCGAAAACCTGGACCAAGTCCCGTAGATTAGCCACGGGCCCCGCTTCCATACGAAATCGACACGCTCAGTCGCCAAATTGGGCGGCACCCGCGCCAGTTTTTGATGGCTACGTTCCCGATCCGTGGATCTGGCGCCCCCGCGCCAGATTCACGGATACGTAATCCATGTTAGCGTGTTCCCGACTCAGGCGGGGCAAGGACCCAGGATAAATCGTTCTGGAGAGTGATGGCACGCTCTCGGAGCGTTCCGGCGCTTTGGATCAAGCGCAGCGCTCGATACATCTTGCAGGACCATCGGATCTCAGAGATCCCCCCCGGTTTGTTCAGGTCCGAGTTTGCCCCAGTCTTGCTTTCGTTTTATTTTTGCGGGGCCTCCCCAGAGGCGATCGGCGCGGATTTCGTCGAAGGGAGGAGGGACGAGGAAGGATGTATGAGACGGATGTGGAAGAGGAGAAGGACGAGTGCTAGGAGGAGGAAGAGGACGACGACGAGACATACTTTGGAATAAGAGGTGGAATTGAAGAAAGGTGAGAGACGGAGGGATGGAGGAGGAGGAGGAGGAGGAGGGATGGAGGAGGAGGAGGAGGAGGAGGAGGAGGGGGAGGGGCAAGGAGGAACGACCGCGGCAATGGTGGAGAAGGGAGGAGGGGGACGAAGCGGAGGCCCAGCACCAGTGGGCAAGAGACATCACTGCTCTTCTCGCGCCCGCTCACGCTGTCTCTCAGGCGCGGTCCTGGCGGTCAGCTTCCTGCTTTTCCGCAACAACGACAACTTCGGTTGGCTCCTCCAGGAGCGCGCAGAGCGGGAATCTTCGATGGGCGGGGCGCGAGGGTTGGGCAGGGCTCGGCGATCGGACGGGGCAGGCAGACAGAAGAGTACGAGCGGCACGACGATAGAGAGAGAGAGAAAGGGCGAGAGATAGAGAGGGAGAAGGGGAGGGAGATAGAGAGGGGAACGAGAGAGAGAGAGAGAAAGGGCGAGAGATAGGGAGGGAGAGGGAGAGGGATATAGAGAGGGGGGGGGGGGGAAAGAGAGAGAGAGAGAGAGCGAGAGGGAGAGAGAGAGAGAGAGAGGGAGGGCGAGAGATAGAGAGGGAGAGGGAGAGGGATATCTATATCTATATATATATGTATGTATAGAGAGAGAGGGGGGGAAGAAGGAGAGAGAACGAGAGAGAGAGGGATAACGAGAGAGAGAGAGAGAGAAACAAAACAATAAAAAATCAGAAAGAGAGATCGCAACACCTCGGACGGGGGCTCGTCCAGGCCCCGAGGCGCCGAAGCACGAAGCAGGCGTGGCGATCAGAGCTCTCCCCCCCCCCCGGCGCCGTCCGCTTGAAAACTCCGACTGCAAAGCCGAGCGGGTTGGCGGTCCTTTTCCCCCCTCCTCCCGCCTCCTCCTCCCTCCTCCTCCACTTCCTCCTCCTCCCTCCTCCTCCACTTCCTCCTCCTCCTCGTCCCCCCTCCTCCCATCCTCCCTCCCCCTCCTCCTCCCTCCTCCTCCTCCTCCTCCTCCTCCTCCTCCTCCTCCTCCTCCTCCTCCTCCTCCTCCTCCTCCCTCCTCATCCTCCCTCCTCCGCCTCCTCATCCTCCTCCTCCTCCTCCTGGCGAGCCGTACTGGCACAGGCGAGATCCCTGTGCTTGCAAGCACGTATCTTCAGTGCGGCTCGTGCTTGCGGGCCACCATCTACGATCATCCCGACAGTTTTGGCTCCCTCCCAGTGCGGCGGCCGATGGCACCGCCGCCGCCCGACCTGCCCGATGTCCTGCGCGGCCCCAGGCGGCTGACTTGGGCCTGCGGGGCCTGCGGCATGGCCCCCTCCAACTGGGCCTGCCGTGTGCGCTGCGCCTGTGGGCGCGAGGCTCCGCTGCGCATCCGCAAGACGGCCGTGGAGCAGCACCAACGATGGGAGAAGGAGCACGCTGCTGGCGGCGGAGGCCGCGGTGGCAAGGGCAAGAGCGCGGGCCCCAATCAGCGGGGGGTCCCTTCGTCGACTGTGCCGTTCGAGCTTGGCAAGCGGTTGGCGGAGATTGAGAAGCTCTTGCGAGGGCAGACGTCCCAGCCTGCTGACAAGGAGGGCGAGGCCAGCGCCAAGCCTCCACCTTGGCAGGCGAGCGCTGACCCCAAGAAGGATAACACAATCGCGGACGATGACACCGACGAGGTCAAGAAGCGCAAGCTTGCGAACCAGCTGGCATGCTTCGAGGCCAGTCTCAAGTTGGTCCCTCACGGCTCGGACAACGACGAGCTCCGCTCGAGCATTCAGCGGAAGATTGAAGGAGTTCGTGACCAGCAGAAGGCTTTGCGCACCCCTGCCGTGGTGCACCGCAGGGCCACTTCTGATCTGCAGAAGGCTACGTCTGCAGTCACTAAGCTGGAAGCGGACATCACCGAGAAGCAGAAGCAGCTCGACGAGTTGCAAGAATCCCTCAAGAATAAGCGCGCCACGCTCGAGGCCAAGAAGATTGAGGTCAGTGTGGTGCGCGCGGAGGTCAGCCAGGCAGCGCAGCAGCTTGGCGGCAAGGCTACGGACAAGTCAGATTCCAGCCCGCTCGATGTCAAGCCAGACGATGTCGACGACGAGGAAGTGCGCACGCTGCTTGGGTCTACCGCCTGGGCCAAGCTCCGAGAGCACCTCGCGGGTAAGATGCCCGCCCCGAAGGACGCCTCTATGCCCCAGGCACCTGATGATGTTCCTGGTGACGCTGGCGGCGACGGCGGTGGCGATCTCAAGCGCTCCCTGGACGAGCAGCTCTTCGAGGCGGCAAAGTCAGGTGCAGAGGTTTTCGCCAAAACGCTTGGCGACATGGCCAAGCGAAGGAAACGTTCCTAACCTTCCTCTCATGTCAGGTCTGCGGCTCTGTGATGGAGCTGTTCGGCGACCTGCGCAGCCTGATGTTCAAGGCACATTCTTGGTTGAAACCTTCAATGCTTCTGGAGGCCGTGACACGTTGAAGGCACGATTGACCAATACGAAGGCTACGATGCTGCTATGCCAGGAGATAGGATACATTGAGGACAGCTTGGATGATCTTCACTCCTGGGCCCAGAACCGTCAATGGAAATGCTCTGCCATACCTGCCCGTCGTACGTCAGGTACCGTTCCCTCAGGTGGAGTTGCAGTGTTCGTTCGTGACGCACTGGGCCTTCGGCATCCACCTCAAGGGCAGCTGGTGTGGGACCACCGACTCCAGCAGGTCATCGTTGACATCGGCGGCTGGCCCCCCATCACGATCTTCAATGTGTATATGCAAGATTCCCTTGGGGCTGTTGGCATAAACGTTGAGATATTAGCTGCTGCAGGTCGTTTGCTCTCGACATGTTCTGGGCCCGCCACCATGGGTGGTGATTGGAACATGGCACCGACTGATCTGGAGCAAAGCCTTTTCCCGCAGCAGGTGGACATGGTTCTGGCCTTCCCTGCTCAGGCTGCGTTCCGAGGAGGCATGGGCGCCAGCACTATCGACTTTTTCTGCCTCAATGATGCTGTTGTCCGCGGTTATCGGGGAGTTAACGCGGTCATGGCCTGGCACAAGAAGGCTCATCGTCCTGTGCAGTTGCAGCTGATTGACAACGGGGTGGACGTGCAGCACTATGTGTATTCTGTCTCCTCCAAGCTTCCTGCCACCCCGCCGCCAGGGCCGCGCACGAGGCCTACCGACTGGGCGATGCATCGAGCCCTTGCTGAGCGCACCGTTGAGCTGGCGGCTGACCCCAGCAGCGACGTGGCGGTGGTCTGGGCACTCCTCACACGAGTGTACGGGCGATTTGCTGTTTCCTTCGCCGAGTACATTGCGCAGAATGTTGGAGTGGAGCTTCGTGGGCCCAGTGCATATGCCAGAAATCCCGAGCCTAGATGGATCAATGTTACATACCCGACGAAGGATCCGAATGATATACAGAGCATCGGCCAAGGCTGGCAGTGGTTGCAGAACATGGTCACCACGATTCAAGCGTTATATACCAAAGATGATTCCATTGTCCAATGTTCTGAGGAGATCGCCCTGTTTATGACATCACCGTACCCAGGCCGAGGCCTCAACGCTCGCCTAGACGCCACGGTCGTGCAGGCGAGAAACCTAATCAATGCTATCCCCATGGACATGGACCAGATTCAATCGTTCGTTGATGATATTGCTGATGATGTAACCCTGGCAGTCAAAGGTCAGACCAAATATTCCAATGCAGCATGGGCCGACTGGTGCAGTGCAGCATCCTGCGGCGGCGCTCGCCCTCTGCATCGACTTACCAAGGTCAAGGCTATCCCGACGCCAGCTGTGGCAGCTGGTATTCAGTCAGGTGACCCCGTAATTATTGTTGCGCAGGACGTGGAACTGTATCGTCGTCTATGGCATGCTTCCGACGTCGCTCTCCCACCCTGGGTACCAGACCGATCGATGTGCCCGCTCCTGGAGCCAGCCGACCTGCGTCGTGCTGCCATGTCATTTCCAGCTGGGACGGCCACTAGCTACGATAACTTTCACCCGAGGCACTTCCTACTCCTTGACGATGACGGCCTCCACGCGCTGGCTCGGCTGCTCTCGGCGTCTGAAGCCATAGGCATGTTGCCCAAGCAGCTGTGCTGGATCCAGATGCCGATGCTGGCAAAGCCGTCTGGAGGCAATCGTCTGATAATACTGCATGCTGCCATCTACCGTGTGTGGCAGAGAGCACGCAAGCCCATGGTTGCGCACATGCATGACGCCCTCGACAGGAGATACTGGGGAGCCAGCCGCGGGAGATCGGCCACTGACTGTGCATGGTTACAGGCGGCTCGATCTGAGAGCAACCAAGCCTCTCACAAGTATGGAGTACTCATCACAGTGGACTGGGTCAAGTACTATGAGTCGATTCCGCTACTCGAGTTGCGACGCAAGTTTCAGCGCCACGGAGCTCCTCATTGTTGGTTGAAGCTGGTCGTCAACATGTGGTCGTGCCCGCGAGTCATCCGACTTGGGCGACACCACGCCCTGACGGCCTTGGTGGCCACTCATGGGCTGCCTGCAGGCGACGGCTACAGCGACCTGGCGATCAAGGTCAACGCTGTCGACGCTTTCGACACGTTCGTTGAGCTGGCTCCATTCGTGGACTTCCAGAACTACATCGACGATACTGGGCTCCATGTCGCCTCGGGTGATTACGTAATAGCTAAGTCAGCGGCAGTTGCGGGGATGAAGCAGTTCCAGGCGGCCAGTTTGAAGTTGAATGCGGAGCTGCACCCAGGGAAGCTGTCAATTGTCTCTACCTCGAAGGAGCTCGCTCGAGACGTGTGCACGGCTCTGCAGCTGCCACTATCTGTTTGCAAGGCGAGCGTTGCGTATCTCGGCATAGATGAATCTGCAGGCGCTCGACGGTATGCACAGCGAGCCCGGCTGAAACAAAAAGGCCGCATTGCTACTATGAAAAAGCGAATTCGCAAGGTTCGAGCCCTCCGAAGGCGTTTCAAGGGACCCAAGGAGACCGCGTTCAAGAAGGCGCCCAAACAAGGCGTTGCTCCTGCCTGCGGTTTCGGGGCGGAGGTCTTGGGTCTCGCGGCCTCGGAGTGGCTGAACCTTAGGAGAATGATGGCCCGCAGCGAGGGGCCTTCTCACGGGGGCGTTTCCCTCGCGGCTAAAGTCGCCCTTCTTGGGGATGGCAGTGATCGCTATGCTATCGCTCCTGCTATACAATGGTGCCGTATGATGTGGACCGCTTCGCGGCGTCCCGATCTCTCGCTGGTCTCACGCGCTGAGCTTTTGAAGCGTTGGGATTTGTGTCAGCATCTGGAGCGCCCAACTTGGAACAGATCCCAGGGGCCCATCTCCAGAGCTGCTCTCAGTTTAAAGCGTGCTGGCTGGAGGGCTGAAGGCCCATGTTTCTGGATAGACCACAATGGACTCAGAATAGACCTGTCTGCCACGCCCCCTGCTCTCTTGGCCGCACAGCTGGAAGCTGGACTGCAGAGAGAGAGGGAATTCGATGTTTCTCGAACGCTCGGTTTTCCTCCAGGGACTAGGGCCACCCTGGACCTGATTCGGGACGAAGTCGGACCCAAGGCCCGAAAACTCACTCGGCTTCAAAAGTACCTGATCAAGAGTTGCGGCTGCGGTGGACTGTGGACCAATGATCGTGCCATGCGTTCGGGGTACTTGTGTGACGGGTTGTGTGAGTGTGGAGAACGTGACACAGTCCACCATAGGTTGTATACCTGTCAGCTTGCGCGAGTTGTTGATGCGCGTGCGGCGTCTGAGGTGCCTGACTCATTCCTCAGCGCGGCTTGCGAAGACCCCGGCAACCCCATCTTCACTCGAGGGGCTTATGTTTATGAAGACAGCGCGTTGCCTTGCCCGTCGATGTCGTCTGAGGTTTATATTTATGACGGGCAAGGCAACGACCTGGACATGACTCCTGAGTCAATCGCTAGTCTCACCACCCAAGCCCCGTTGCGTCTTGCGTCAGATGGTTCGAGCACTAAGCCTTGGATCCGACCTTTGCAGCGCGCGGCCTGGGCGATCGCAGTATGTCCCGACGAGGGTGAAGACCCCGTGGCGATTGTTCAAGGAATAGTTCCAGGAGTCCTTCCGCAGACGCCTGCAATGGCTGAGCACTGCGGTATTGCCATTTGCGGTCAGATTGCTACGCGACCCACAGTGCTGGGTGCGGATTGTCAGGCTGCCATTCGTGTCTGTCAGAAAAATGTGAATGATCAGCTTGCCCTTTCCAGCCAGTTTGCTGGAGTGCGGGCCTTCGCGCACGAGCTTGAAGGCACCCAGCTGATTCACACTGTTCGGCATGTCAAGGCACATCGCGATGACGCTGAGATTCAGGGCCTGGAGGGCGAAGAAAAGATCTTCGCGCTCGCGAATGCTGCTGCCGACCGATATGCAAAACAAGGCCTGAATTTGCACCCAGCACCGATGCCAGATTTTGTCCAAGAGTCAAGCCTTGCTGGTGAGAGAGCACGGCACTTCATCAAGCTTGCGGCACAGGTGCTCCCATGTTTTGACAACGATGCACGGTGGGCAAGGCCCCACAGATTCGGTGCTGCTCGGTCTCGACGACAAGTGTCGTGGCACGACTGGCACAAAGGAGAGCTCGGACTTCAATGTCGGCACTGTTTCAGAGTTGCCGAAGGCAGCCGTGACAATATCCCCATGGATGGATGTCGTGGGCTGCCGACTTTCCTCCGTGGTCTGCTCCGTGACCCCATGGGACACAAGCTTGTCGCCATGGCTGGACCCCGCTCGAAGAATGGTGCGCTCTCGGTGTCGAGTCGTTTCTCGTCCAAGGAGCAGATCCTCTGTCTACGCTGCGGGGGTTGGTCCCAAGGGAGGGGTTTAAAGCTTGGTCGTCAGTGTGAGGCTCCGTCACGGAAAGGTTTGGAGATTTTGGCGGACTTCAGGAAGGGTTACTGTCCCAACCCGAGAGTTAGGGCTGCCCTCGATCGTGCGGTTCCGCTCGTGAGGCTTTGCCTGTCCGCCGCCCCTCCTGAGCCAGACGCTCCCACCGTGGTCCGAACCTTGCACTCCAGTTCGCTGACGGCCCGCTCCTACGAGCAGCGTATGTCAGCCTTGTGTGAGAGGATTCGTATCAGGGAACAGGCCGCAGCGGCCATGTCCCGATTCTAAGATTTTTCGTTTTCCTGGGGTTCGATCCACCCCCCCCAAGTTTTTTGGAATCTAGCCCTGCTTTATTCCTTTCTAGTGGAGTGCACTCCCCTTCGGGTCTGTTCTTCTTCTTCCTCCTCCTGGCGATCAGGCTAGTCAAAGAGCCCGTCTGCTCACCGTGGCACAAGCGCCGCCTTCCCACGCGCCTTGGGCATGCGCGGTACGGCCTTTTTTAAAAGGTAGCAGGCTCCTCCTTGGGGCGTCCTCCTCGGCGGTCCGAGTTGCGCACCAGAGCTGCGGGACAGCTGCAAACAGTTCACGCAGCGCAGTCAGCACGTGAAGGTATCATTGCTGAGCATCTAGACGCGCCTGGTAGCCCGCCTGGGGAAATGCCCTGGGGCGAGTGGGCGATCCAAGCGGCCTGAGCTGTTTGGGACTTGTCACACCCGGGTCCTGACTGTTCGGTGACTGTTCCGGGTGCTACGCATTTCGAAACGATGTTTGGTTGCACGCTGATGCAATGCACCGTCGTGATGCTGTTGTGCGGGCAGCGACGGGTTTGCTCGAGGTGGTGGTCGTCCCACTCGTGGGCGTTAGGGTCGAGACGCTGGTCTCCAACGTACTGTTCGACGTCGAGATGCTGGCACCCGTCGTGCTGCGCAGTGACGTGGAGTTCGATGATGCGCAGTTGGTGCCCGCCGCGGTTGTCGCCGCCGTGGTACTCGAGGCAGGTCTCGTCCCCACCGTGAGCGTCAGGGTCACGTTGCTGCTCTCCGACGGTTAGTGCCCGTCGTGCTACTCAGTGACGAGGTACCCGAGGCCGTACTCGTCCCGCTCGTGGACGTCAGGGTCGAGTTGCTGCTCTCCGGCGCGCTCGTCAATGATGCGCTGCCAGTGCCGGTCGTGGTGCTCAGCGACGCGGCACTTGAGACAGTGCTTGTCTCACGCGTGAGCGTTATGGCCAGCTTGTTGCTCTCCGAGGTGCTGCCCCCGTCGAGATGTTGGTGACTGTCGTGTTGCTGGGTGACGTGGCACCCGAGGCAGCTGTCATCCCACCGTCGCACGTCAGTTTAGAGCTGGCTCCTTCCGACGCGCTGCTCAGCGGTGCGCTGCTGGTCTTGGTCGCGCAGCTTAGCGACGTGGCGCTCGAGGTCGTACTCGTCCCGCTGCTGAACGTCAAGGCGAGTTGCTGCTTTCCGACGTGCTGCCGGGGTGCGGGTGCCCGTTTTGGTGGTCAACGATGTGGTACTCGAGTCATTGTTCGTCCCCCTGGTACACGTCAGGGACGTCAGGGTCAAACGGCTTCTCGCCGATGTGTTGGTCGACGTCGAGATGTCAGTACCCGTCGCGCTGCTCAGCGACGTGGTACCCGAGGCAGTGCTCATTCAATTCGTGGATGTCAGGGTCGAGGCGCTGCTCTCTGGCGTGCTCGCCGACAAAGCACTGCTGGTAACGTTCGTGGTCCCCCTCGTGGACATTAGGGCTGGCCTGCTGTTTTCCGACGTGCTGTTCCACGTCGAGATGCTAGTGGCCGACGTGATGCTCTGCGACGTGGAATTCGAGGCCGTGGTCATCCCACCGATGCACGTCAGGTTAGAGCTGGTGCTCTCTGGCGTGCTGTTCCACAGTGCGCTGATGGTCCCGGTGGTGCAGCTTGGCGGTGTCATGGTACCCGGAATTGTCCTCGTTTCGCTCGTGGGCGTCAGGGTCCAGTTGTTGCTCTCCGACGTGCTAGTCAACGTCGGGATGCTAGTGCCCGTCTTGGTGGTCAACGACGTGGCACGCGGGGCAGCATTCGCATCCCTCGTGGACGTCAGGGTCGAGATGCTCCGATCAGGCGTGCTACGCGACACTGCGCTTTGGGTATTCGTCGCCACATTCAGCAAGTTGGTGATTGAGCAGTTGTCCTCCCACTCGTGGGCGCCAGGATGGAGCCGTTGCGTTCTGACCCGCTGGCCGACGCCGAGGTGCGAGCACCCGTCGCGTTGCGCGGCGACGTGCTCCGCGAGGCAGCCCGTCGCCAGCGCGTGGGTGCCAGGTGTCGGGCTGCTGCTCTCCGACGCGCGGCTCGACGCCGAGGTGGTCGTGCCCGCCGTGATGCTTGGCAAGATGGCACTCCAGATCTCGCAATAAAAGGGAGGGGGTCTGGACCCTCCAAGACAAGCCATTTCAGACCCCCCCCCCCGTGGGAGAACCCTCCAAAACATCGTCCCCAGACCCCCCCAGGCCCTCCAAGATAGCCTGGAAGAGACCCCCCCCGAAATGAGACCCCCCTCCCTTTATTACGAAATCTGGAGTACTCGAGGCAGTATCCACCCTGCGCTCGGATGTCAGGGTCGAGCTGTTGCGTTCAGACGTGCTGCGCAGCAGCGAGATGCCAGTGCCCTTTGGTGCTCGACTCCGTCGTGCTTGGCGGGGTCAGGCACATGGTAGTGCACGTGCTTCTTCCTGACTTGGGGCTCGTTGCGCTGCTCGTCCAAGTCGCGGGCAGCCGCGGCGGGCTGGCCGCGACTTTAGGGCGAGGAGATATGGCGCTTATTCGCCCCAATCGATTTTTTGAATGGGGGCACTGGCGCAGTGCTCCGCGAAGCGTGGTCCAGTGATTAGTACACGCGAGCCAAGCTAGAACCGTTGACCGCCCCGCGACGGTAGGAGAAGCAGAACTGCATTGCATGGCACTCCCAGTGTCATGAGCCATGCCGGCAGCCCTGTCGCAGCTTCGTGGAGAGGGAGAATCGGGGTGGAGGAGGGGGCGAGCCCCGTGCGCGCAAGCAGCGCCCTTGCTGTTCGGCGCGTGGTCGGCGCCGTTCCCAGTCGCTCTCACGGTCAGGGGCTCGGGGGAGGGACGCGCCGTTGACCTCGCGCGGGGCGCCTTCGGCATCGCCGTCCAAGATAGCAGGGGGTCGGTGCCTGACGGGGGCTTGCCGCCCGCATCGGTGCTTGCAGAGCTCGTTAAGGCGGTTTCCCTGCTGCGGGCTAAGCATCGAGCAGTACGCTGGCCCTGTCGATGCCGCAGTCGTTGGTGCGACTGCCGGCGTCGGAGGTTTGCGCTCAGGCCCCAGCGCGCGTTTGCGCGCGTGCGCAGGTGGGCTTTGTGTCTCACCGAGCGCTTTCCACTACTCGCAAAGTGCCTACTCGCAAACGTCCAGAAAATATATGTCGTCTTTGATGTCATTTATCGTAGATCCCCCGCGGCGTATCCAGGCCAACTGCGAGTAGTTACTTTGCGAGTAGTGGAAGGCGCTCGTCTAGTGTCGCAGCCAGAGCCCCCCCCCCCCACATGGGCGAGTCTGATGTCTCTGCTGGCGTCGGTCCTGACGCTTGGGCATCGCCCCCCCTCGCCGACTGCTGGCGGGAGCGAGGGGTCAGGCTTTACAACGCGGGCAGGGCGGCGGCGTTTGTCGAAAGCAACGAGGACCACCGAGTATTTTGATTATGGCCCCCCGTGCGTCCAACGACGATGCCACGTTGGCCGGTCGTGGGGTTTTCATCCTGGATGGGTCTGCACGAACGAAATGGGCACACAAAGAATGGGCACAATGCCCAACAGCAGTTCCTGATCATTTTGACCAGGACTCGCTGTCCGCGCCGCCGCGGCCTGTGTCCATTTGAGACAGAAGGCCGCCTGCCCAACAGCGGCCACTGTCGGTTTGGGACAACATTTGTTGCTGGGCATTGTACCAGATGTTTCCGTACCCATTTCGGGCGTCCAGATTGGTGACAGTCGCGCCAGCGCCTTCATGGAAGAGAAGAGATACGGGCACTGCGGCGGGGCCCGTGGAATCGGGGGGCGCTTCGGTCCTGGAGGACCCGGCGAGCTGCCATGCCCCTGCTTCCGCCCTGAGGTCTCATTCGTCACGGCGGTCCCGTTCTTCGCCGAGGTCCCCTTCGCGGGGGCGCGCGCCTGCCTCTCGTCGCGGGGCCCCATGCACTGGGGGCGCGCGTGAGGGCGGGCCCACCTCATCACATGGCCTGTCTCGTCGGCTCGCGTGAATGTTGTCGCGGTAGCTGCCGACGTGGACCGCGGCGGTGCCGCCAGTGTATCGGTTGCGCCGCGGGCGCCGGCGAGGCTTCGCATGGGTGCGCCCTGGACTCCGCCCTGGTGCGTGTATTCGCCGGGGTTGGCGGTGGCTGCAGCGCGGGAGTCCAGGGCCCTCTGGTGGCGGCTGCCCTTCCCGAGGCAGCAGCCTGGAAGATGACTGCGGAGTCCCCGAGGATCCTCGGTCGGTGTCTTGGCCCCGGTGGGGCGCCAGTTGCCGCTGCCAGTGTGTGAGGTCACGTGGTCGGCTCCGTGAAACGCAGGCGCGGTCGGGGCGCCCCGGTTTTTCGGGCGTCACGGCGGGCGTCGGCGGAGGCTGTGGGCCCTGCCGAGGCACGGCTTGTGCCCGTCGCGTGTTTCTGAGAGTGGTCCTCGGGAGGTGGGCAGACCTCCTGCCCCGTCACGTCGATCAGCGACTTGGCCGTTTTCGGTTCGCGGGGCGGCGTCGCGGCCGGTCGTTTTTGCGGGCTCGGGTCCGTCGGTTTCGGTCCCGGGCCGTTTTCACGACAGGGTGGTTTGCTAGAGGGGGGTTTGTCCACCGCCGAGTGGTGCAGCATGATGTGGCAGATCTTCTTCTCGCACAGTTTTACTAGCTTGCCCCAGAGTTCATGCTGGTCGGAGCGGTGTTGTCGTAGGTGTCGGCCAGGTCGTTGTGATGCTCGTGTGCAAGCTCGTTGTAAGCAGCGGGTGTCCAGTCGAAGGCACCACTGCTTTTGAGTGCGGCGACCCAGGCTCCCTTTCGGCTGAGGCTGGCATTCTGCCAATTCGTTATGGTTGCTTTTGGAGCGGCCCTTGCCTGATGGTTTGGGCTGCTACGGCACGTGAAGCGCACGGCGAGGGCTCTCCGGAACCATTGCGGCGCGCGAGGATATGTAAAATGTGGCACGAATCAATCTTGTAGTGGAGGGTTTCTCCGAAGGGCTCAGGCGACCCGTCCTCCTCTCTCCTCCTCCTCCTCTTCCTCCATCTCCTCCTTCTCCTCTTCCTCCTCCACATCATCCTCTCTCTCCTCCGCCTCCTCCTCCTCATCCTCGTCCTCCTCCTCCCCCTCCTCGGCCTCCCCTCCTCGGCCTCCCCCACGGCCCTGGGGGAAACTGGCCCTCCCGTGGTGAGGGCCACAAGTCCGGCTTCGCCATGCCGTCACCAGAGTACTGCGGGCTTCGTGTCCTGGTTGCGCCCCGGGTCTGTCTGGAGACCCTCGGGCCGGGACTGGGGACTGGGGGAAAGAGATAAGAGAGAGGGAGAAGACAGAGAGAGAGAGAGGAAAGAAAAAAAGAGGGAGAGAGAGAGAGAGAGAGACAGAGAGCGCGCCGGAGAAAGAGAGCGAGAGAGTGAAAGAGAGAGAGAGAGAGAGATGAAAGTGAGAGATAGGGAGGGAGCGATCGATTCCAAACGCGTGGAGGCTCGCTCCGTTTATTCCAGATTGCGGACGGTTCTTTCGGGGCGGCTCTTGGAGCCCCAAGGTTGTCGACCGCCCGCCGTCGCGCAGGTTCCCCGCCTCGCCCGTGCCAAGGGGCAGGGCAGGTCCAGGGATGACCAGCGGGAGTCGGGAGGAAGCATCCGGGACGGCGGACGGGTCGGGCGGGGGCAGGATACGGACTGACCGTTCCCGAGCCTTCCGAGGCCTTCTCAGACAGAGTTTTGGAGCGCTCTGGAACGGCCGCGGCGCCCGATGCGTCTTCCGGAGCCGGTGGATCTCGGGGATCTCCGTGTCGTTGCGGTCCCATGCTGTCACGGTCTTGCCTGGTATCGCTCGGACGTGTGCATTTTTCCTTCGGCGAGGAACATCGAGGAGCATCCTTGATCATTTGGCGAAAAAACCACGCACGAAACCGACAAAAACACAGGGAATGGACGTCCGAGCGACGGCGAGGGTAGGAGGGGGGAAGGCGACCAGGCGTGTGCAATGGGGGACGGGCTTCCACCAGGGTGGCGAGACGAAACGTGGCGCTGGGCTCCCTTCGGGAGCGAGACCGTGACGTGGTTGCCAGCGGTTGGATTGCACAGATGTTTCCACGTTCCAGTTGCCATTGCATAGTCATCCAGGTGAGGGACGGGAGATGGCCAGATGGTGGTTGGCAAGCTTTGGATATGTTGGTCTCTATATGGCCTTGGGCCCATCCCGCCACCGGGGCCCGTTGGATGTTAGTTGCGATCTTGTGGTAGGCTTCTCGGGCGCCACTTGGAGGCAGTTTGGACGCCTCTTTGGGGCCTTCTGGGGGCCTCTCGAGGGCCTGTTTTGGGCCTCCTGGGGTCCTCCTGTGGGCTCTTGGGGCCTCTTGGGGCCTTCCGGGCGCCTCCTGGGGCCCTCTTGAGGCCCGCCTTGGGGCCCTCTTCACTCCGAACAAGTCACGCGACGAGATGCTGGGAACCCCAGGGGCGCGGCGTGAAGCCCCACAGGATGCGGCCCGAGAGGCTTCGCACCCCCTTTGATGCTTCCGCAGGAGTGAGGGCTGAGGCTCAGAGGGGCAGTGAGAGGACCTGAGTGCACGCCCGCTCTGTGCCCAGCGGCACGGTGGCGGACCAAAAGGTCAATGCTCGAGACTTTCCGTTTACCTTTGGAACGTCTCGAGTTTATTGTCATGTGTATGGCAACGTTGGCCAAGGTAAAGAAAGCGGCTTCAGAACACAATCGCGATCATGCTCCTCTTGACCATCCAGCGCACCATGAGGCATTTCATATCCGTTTGTCTTCTGCAACGACTCTTGATATGCTCCTGCGTTGCGCCCCAGGATTCCCTCGTCACGCCATGTTGGTTGCCCTTCCGCTGAGTACACATGCGCAGGCAAACGTTGAATTAGTTTTCGTGACAGCGTGCAGTTTCTGGCGCGTCGTCTCGTCCCACGTGGCAGGTTGCCCAACCTGAAGGTAGGCACGTTGCTGTTGGTCTGCACGTTCTTCTTTGACATCTTCTGGGTATTCTTATCGCCGTTCATTTTCAAGAAGTCTGTGATGATCGAGGCCCTTGCCCCCGCCCTGCCGCGAAATCGCTCTGCAAGAGGATTAGCAGCACGGCGATGCTGAAGTGCATTGCCATGGGTTCCCAACATGCCGCTCTCTCAGAGCACACGGAGGCTCCAATGTCTGAAGAAACCGAACCTCCTCGCAGCATGTCTCGGCATCGACCGTCGAAGCTCTCCTGCGGCTGATGAGCACAGGCCGATGCATTGCTGTGCTGGCGCGGCAGGGTTTGACCTGTTCGGCCTGGGTCGGTCCCCGTGTGTACAGCCAAGACGCTGAATTGAGGACCACTTCGGGCCAGGAGGGGCTCTTCAGCTCTGGCCACTCCTTGGACCCGTGCCGGACAACCTCTTCGTGGCCGAGGCTCGCTGTGGCTCGATGGGCCCCTTGGTTCCTGACTCCGCCTTGCTACCGGGGGCACGACGACGGCACGGGGCCTCCCTCCTCCTCTGGGCGGTTTCACTTCTCGTCGAAAGTCGGGGGGCTGTGGAAGAAAAACTACCTGCGACCTCCAGCGGCGCCCCGCCGCCCCAGGGTTGGGGTGTTGAGACCGCCTTGGCTCTTCTTCGACATCGCCCTGGGCGTTTGTTTTTTGTTCTTATGTTGTTGGTACCGTGTGGCACGTTGGGCCCCTGGGCCGGCGGGCTCTTCGTCGCCCTCCTCCTCCGACCCCGTGGCCAAGGCACGCCTTGCCGACCTGCCCCCCGCGGAGGCCGATAGCACGCTGCGCACACAGCATCAGACACCTGGCCCTGCCAACGGCTGCCCAACGGGTGCCCCAACGGGTGCCTCACGTGCCGACGGGCCCGCAGAGCCGTGGGGCACCCCGCGAAGCTCCGATTCGACGCATGTTGTGCCCCCTAGATCTCGCGAGGCGAGCTTGCGGATCGTGTGGGCCTGCTGCAGTGGGCCAGGGGGGTAGTACCCCTGGAGGGGCGCAGACGGCGGGCGCAGCCGGCGGACTTGAGGGTGCGCTCCCCTCGGACCTCCTCGCTCTCTCTCTGCGGATCTACGCCCAGGGCTCGAGACGCCGAGAGCAGGACCCATTCGGGCTCAGCGTGGGGCTCTGTTTTTCGGGCCGCTCCTTCGCTGGGGGAACGGACAAACAGTGACATAAGCATAAAATCTCGGAGGTCCGCGCGGATTTCTCGGATCCGCGCTGGCGGCGCCTCCGGCGCCGCCCTTGGCGCGCTCCGCATGCTAGGGAGGGGGTCAAGCGCCGAACCGAGAAATCCGCGCGGACCTCCGAGTTTTTATGTTTATGGTATTTTTCGTTCCCATATTCGTTCTCCTCCATCCCCTGGCCCCGGGTTCGTCCCCTGGGCATCGTTCCCTCCTCCTCCTCTGCCCCTTGCTGCCGTTGCTCTCCCGGGTCGTCCACCTTGGAAGGCACATGGCGGGCAGGGCGCGCATAGGGCATGTGTTCCTGCATCCCTGGCCCATTGTTTGGCGCCGAATCTAGTGCACCATGTGTGCACATGCTGCAGCCACGCTTTCTCGTAGCCCTCCTTGACTCTGCGGCATGCTTGGAGAGATGTAGGACGCAGGACCAGTTCAGTTCGCGGCCGAGGCTCGCCGGTTCTAGAAAGCTCCTTCGCTCCTTATACTCGGGTCGGGCGAAAGGGGGGGATTGGGAAAGGGGGGGGGTTACGAAATTTGCTGCATGCAGCTGGTTTCGGCCTCACCGAGGGGCCCATTCCTCGATACATAGCCGCCTCCGGCGCCGGGAGGCGCCGGGAAAGTCAGCTACGTGAGTTGATTCTCAAACCCCCCCTTTGCTATCCCCCCCTTTCGCCCGACCCGACATACGTCGTTCCAAATTTTGGCACGATGACTGTTACGCTTCTCGTCGCCCTCTCGTCCGAGCGCATCCTGCTCAGCAGCCGATCGCGAAGCGAGCCGTGCCGCGGAGCGAGGCCGGCGCTGGCGCGAGAGCTCCCGCTCCGAGGCATGCGCGTGGCATGGGCGTTTCTTCCCAAGCCGCGCACGCGGTCAGGGGGATGATGATGATGATGATGATGATGATGATGATGATGATGATGATGATGATGATGATGATGGTGGTGATGGTGATGATGATGATGATGGTGATGGTGGTGATGGTGATGATGGTGATGATGGTGATGGTGATGGTGGTGATGGTGATGGTGATGGTGATGATGATGATGATGATGATGATGATGGTGGTGATGATGATGGTGGTGGTAGTGATGATGATGCTGATGCTGCTTCTGCTGATGATGTTGCTGCTGCTGCTGCTGATGATGATGATGGTGCTGCTACTGATGATGATGATGCTGATTATGATGATGCTGATGATGATGCTGATGATGATTATGCTTCTGATGATGATGACGATGCTGATGATGATGATGCTGATGATGATGATGATGCTATTGCTGATGCTGCTGATGCTGCTGATGATGATGATGATGATGATGATGATGATGATGACGATGCTGATGATGACAATACGGGGGAGGAGGAGGAGGAGGAGGAGGAGGAGGAGGAGGAGGAGGAAGAGGAGGGGGAAGAAGAGGAGGAAGAGGAGGAGGAGGAGGAGGAGGAGGAGGAGGAGAGGGAGGAGGAGGAGGAGGAGGGGGATCAAGGAGTAGGAGGAAGAGGAGCAGGAGGAGGATAATCAGGAGGAGGAGAGGAGGAGATGAGGAGGGGGAGGAGGAGGAGGAGGAGGAGGAGGAGGAGGAGGAGGAGGAGGAGGAGGAGGATGGGGGAGGGGGAGGGAGAGGGAGGGAGGAGGGAGGAGGGAGGAGGGAGGAGGGAGGAGGGAGGGAGGGAGGGGGAGGGAGAGGGGGAGGTCCGTAGCCATTTTGGCTCAAGCCATTTTGGCTCAAGTAATCCATTTCTCGAGGTGGCTTACAGTGAGCTATTGTTGGTGCTCTCACGATCCCTGTTCGAGCCTGCCCGAGGCCTTACAGGTTTCTTTCGGCTATTCATGAAAGGCCAGGGTTGGTCCAACCACTGGCAATCCCCTTTCTCGCAGTACCATGGCGGTCAACATTTCGGGAGTTGGAAGCCCCAGGGTCAGCCATCCTCCAAAGTTGTGTGCCAAGGTTGCGGCTGCAAGAAGAATCGTCTCGCGTGGTCCCACTGCATGCACTGCAAAGCCCCGCTGCAAAGTGTGTCGAACAGTCCGTTCGGTGGCAGTCCTCACGTGTCTGATTGGAATGGCGTACCTCCAGGTGTTTTCGCTGCTTCTCCCTTTTCCAACGCAGGAGGTCCTGGCTCAAAAGGCAGGGGCAAAGGCCTCGGTGGCGTTGCAGCTATGGGAGGAGGCGCTGGCGGAGGGAAAGGTGTCGCGGGACAGCCTCCGCTCCCGACCGGACCAGTGCCGAACCTCAGCCTGGCCGAGGCGAAGCAGCTTGCTGAGTTTCGCAGAAGGCAGGGGACTCGGCCGCGTTCAAGCGTTATTCTGATCTCGCCAAGCACCTGGAGAACGCTCAGAAGCCCCCGCCTGCAGTTTCCCCTCAGACGAAGCTGCAGCAAGCCGACAGTGCCGTCAAGAAGCTGGAGAAGAAGCTTGAGGCCGACCTCGCGCGGATGCTCAGGCTTCAGAACGATCTGGAGGATGCTACTACCAAGATGCACGAGACCAAGGCCGCTCTTGCCAAGGCGGACCAGGATTACAAAAATGCCTTGGCGGAATGCAACGAGAGTGCCAAGATCGGGACGCCCAACAACGTGTCGGAGGCGCAGTTCACACCTGTATCGTTGGGCGACCTGGTTGAAGGCAAGTTCGATATCAATTCCTTCTTCTCGAGTGACCTGCTGGACGAGCTCAGCCTGGAGTACGAAGTCACGGAGACCGACCGCATGGAGTTTGAGAAGCGGAAAGAGTCGTTACGAGATGGAGTGCAGAAGCTGGCATCGGACCTCTTCAAGCAAGTCGTCATCGCCGCGCAGGATGCAAAAAATGTTCACGTGCTTCACATGTCCCGTCTCATCCCGAAGCGCAGGAAGAACAATGAGGGCGGCGCACATCCAGCTGGGGCGGCAGAAGAAGGTGAAGTTCAAGTTCCACGAGCTCTTGCTCAGGGTGCTGCAGCTGCTGCAGCCGCCGAAGCTGAAGGTGATCGGGAAGCTGGAGATGTTCCCGTGTCTACTGACGGCGAACAGGATGCAGAGATGGCGGAGCCTGCTGGGCATGAGCCCGACGGGCGTGATGTGCGTGAGCGGGCCGCCGAGGCTTTGGCAGCATCGGCCCCGCCGCAGGCGGCTTCCGCAGCTGCCGCGGCAGGCCAGCACTCTCTTTAGCCTAGGGCAGCGTGTCCTGGCCTGTAATTTTTTAGCATTTAAGGACTATGCCGACAGGAAATCAGTGATTAACTCCAAGTCGCACCTGTCGGGCATCAGGTATTTCCGTAGATTGCTGCAGCAGTGTCCTGGTCTGTCGGGAAGCGAGCAGTCTGGGTTTCAGGCGTTTGCTGCTCCCCTCCTTCCAGGAGCTGTTGTTGTGCCCCCAGGAATCGCCCAGGCTCCCCCTACCTTCACCTCCCCGTTCCCTGTCGGACCTGCCACGGGCTCTGGACCAGGTGGTTTTGAAGTTTTTGAAGGAGGAGTTTCGGTGGTGTCTGCCAATCTCAACTCTTGGGGCACTCTCAAGTCGTACCTGGAGTCGTCGGACGCGTCGATCATCCTGGGCCAGGAGCATCGTCTTTTGGACCCTGACGCCATTGCGCAAGCCTCTTCGTCGGCTCTGAAGCTCGGCTGGAAGTCGACCTGGTGCCCAGGCATTTTTGGAGAAGGAGGAGGGGTCAGCTCGGGTACTGCTATTTTTGCGCGCGACGGCTTCGGCATGTTTGCAGCGTCTACCACAGTGGTGGTGCCTGGCAGAGCAGTCGCAGCCATGGTCCACGCACCGGGTTGCGAAGCCATCTGCATGGTCTCTATCTACCTTATCCACTCTGAAGGTCTCTCGGAGGGCAACCTTAAAATACTGTCTACGGTGGGGGAATTCTTGGCTAGTCTGACCTGTGAGTTTG